ATTAGCCCTCCCTCTTTTCCCAGTTATGAGACAGCCAATCTGTGTCCCTTTCTGCAAGCTGACATATTTGCCAAGGAAAATCTGTTACCGGCACTTTCTTGCTCTTAATAAAAAACATCCTGTTGCTTGTCAAACTCCTCCTGCCTCAGGGAACCTCTTCCTCACTTTTAGTTCATATACGGTATGATCAACAAGCTGTTTTTCCACACCAAAAGTTGTTAGCTCCTCTCTGTATTTCTACTAATTGTTCTCCTGTGGATTATGACCACTTTCTTTATTCTCTTACAATCCAGAAAGTCATTTTCTTGTTCTCTGCTCCCACCTTTTTTCTTTTTTTTTTTTTTTTGACTCCCACTTGATGAAATTCCATCATCAATCTCTAATACTGTTTTGCTGATGATTTGAAAAATTGCCAAATAATCTCAGAAAGCAACCTGCTATGTAGCTTTGAGCCATATCCTAAGTACATTCCTTTTAGTGTTAACATGGTAAATATCCATGTGATGAAAAGTAAGAATGCCTTAAGTTATAAATTATCATTAGTTTTCCAAAAAGTTATTTAGAAACTGTAAGAGTTATTTTCTCACCTGTTCTGTCTGAGAAATTACTGTACATGGAGTCTGTCACAAGCAGGTATCCCTATTTAGGCAAAGATTCAATTACAACACTGATCAGTGAAAAACTTCCCTGTGTTCACTCTAGTCTGTTGATAGAAAAACATTATACAGTCCAAAAAACTATTTCAGCACTTTACTTTTACTCTTTAACAATCAAAAATCATGGTTGTCATAGAAACTGTAAAAACTGAAGTAAATCATGACATAACAACGGGATAATGGAAAATGTCTGCTGGCTCAGGTTTTCATGTTGGAAATGCCTCAGTGAATTTACCTGGGGAGTCAAGTAGTTCCTCAATTTAACACAATCTTATAATGACAGGTACGATTACTGTTTTTAATAATCTGGTCAGAATTTGGAAAATATTAGTATTACTCCTGCTCTACACATTGGTTATAGCAAATGCACAAAGACTGTTCCAAAAAAAATCTGTACAAGCCTCTAGGTTAAGGGGACAGAATTTCTTTGATCCAGAGTCTGAAATATCCTGGAGGGACTTCTGGCCAACATTCTCAATATTTCAAAGGTCCCATTTGTAGCTTTTTTAACTGAGACAAATCAAACATCACTTTAGAAACACACATTGCCATTAGCTTCAGTCTCTTACATATTCTATTCAAAAAAAGAATTAAGCTACAAGGCTCTAGCCCAACTGAACATGGTCCAGCTCCATGTAAAACACTATGTTAGGTTCTTTTCATGCAACACAAAAATCAGTAAAATAAAACCCTACTCTTAACTAATAAAGGCTAGAAGAGCCATTTGCTCTTCACCTCCCTGAGCCACATCACAGATCAAAATCCACACACTAGAGTGCAAAAGAGTTTACTGCAACAAGGTGACACTTGGTAATTATTAATTGACTGGAGTGCCTTACTGCAACCATTTGCCCTTTAAGCAGAGCCCAACCTGACGAAAATAATCATAATACATAGAAATATTGTTAGGCTATCCCCAGTGTAGGTGAACAAATCAAGTAGTTTAATCATTAATAATCTGAAAAGCAGCAGTGTGAATGTAGAAGTATTCAGATGTTTAAAAAAGAAAGAAACAAACAAACAACAAAAAAAAAATACTAGAAAGCCTTGTATTGAGTTTTATGGAGAAATTTGAGGGGCTTTCATTTTCTTCTTTGTTTTTCACATGGTTTCCTTAGACCATTTTCATTGTGTAGCTTTAATTTATTCTTTCATATAATAAGGTGCATATATTTTGAATAGACAGCAAACAAGCATGCATTGGTTTTCCCTATGCTTTCCTAAAATTGCCTTTTTTTAAAAAAAATATTACTATAGGAAAAACATCTAAAAGCATTCCCTGTGCTCCCTGAGCATGAATGTGCATGAACACATAGAAGCAGAAAGATTGAGGTATTGAAGAAGTGTTCAGCTCTGTTTTGTTTGACTGCATTGAACACTTTTCAGACTTGGGTCTTACACATCTTCAGTGACCCTCCTTGCTTAGGGATTATGTTTAGTGGAAAGTCTGCAGTCTGCAACATGCTTCAGCAATCTGCAGAAGGTTAACTGACATTAGAGCAACTTTCCCAGCTGCATCTGAGATAAACGTTGGGCCTGCACAAATCAACCTGTCAACCTCTCTAACCATCAGTTTAGAATAAAGTTCTGATTTAAAACAAAATGAAATCCTGCTTCCAGTAAAATGAATAACAAACAAACAATGAGTGAAAGAGTAAACTTTCTTCAAGGGACTAAGAAACAAACACCATTCACCTTTCCTTTCCAAGAATGTCATGAATTAATTTGTTTGCTGCATACATAGCACAGGCTTCTTACACATATTAAGTACACAAACATATACTTCTTCAAACTATACACATACATAGTTTACATACATATATAGTACACATACACTGTTATGCTTTTTGAATACTATAAATGTATATAAATATGTACACAGACATACACCTTTATTTACAGAAGAAGGTACACTCACTTCCAGGGATGCCACTGGGAACATGAAAAGCAATAAAATGCTACTGTAATCATTAAATGCTTCGGATATGCCCGACAATTATTTTTGATTAAAATATGCTACCACAGGAAAAGAAATAAAAAGATTAATGTAAAATGTTGAGTATTAATTATTAACAGCAGTCTTAATCTATATGCAGCTTACAAAATACTGTTAAGAATATTACATTTGACTATCACAAAGAATTTTTATGTACTGACAGGGATTACGGGAGCTCATGGCATAATAGAGGATTTTTTAGATTGCAGTTGTGTCTCAGCAGTCCCTTGGAGATGCAATGAATCTGCGTATGAACTGATAAAGAAGAGTGAGAAGAATTTATATGAATCTTTTGAGATTTTGCTGAACAGCACAGTGGCTTTGGGCACACAGTAGGAGCCCAGACTTCAGGGAACATGTGTACAGAATAAACACACCACCACACAGAGTGGGCTGAGGAGGAAAGAATCCGACACTGATCTCAGATGACGTTAGAGCAAATATACTGTACATATTATAAAACATATAACATATGCTAGTGAGGATATAGTTGTATACAGCAGCAAAGCATGTTTTCATGTTTTGCCCTATATTCAAATATTACACAACCCAATCCTGCAACTTTATCACACAATTTTTGTTTGTAAATAATCGTATTTATTTCAACATATGCATCTAGAGATCTTAGTCCGTTAATAAATTTTGACATCTTGGTTTTGTGGAGAGTGGTGACTCGTGAAAGTAACAATAGAAAACGGGAATCCGTTTTCTACCAGTATCAGGTCAAAATGTTCTGATACAAAATATGCAACTCCAGATCATTTTGTAAGGAAAAATCCTTTTTAAGTAGTAATCTGTTGCTGTGACCATTCTAATACACACATTCTGCCCAGAAAATAAGTATACTTCCAAAAACAATGGCTGTTAGGAAAATTGGGAAAACGAAGCAGTGAATATTTTATCATTGCATAGGGCTCACAAGATTTTATTTGAAGAAACAAACATGAAAGTAATCACAAGTACCTCAGCTAATTTACAGGAAATATTGCATTGTCTGGGACTACAGGCCTGATTCTCCACCACCCAACACCAACACCACTGTAAAAAGTATATGTGGCTTCTATTTTGACTCTATTATAATGTCCAAGATTCCACTATGAAGAGACATGCTCCTTAAATTCAAACTTTGTTGTTTATTTCTACTTTACAAAGAACAATTTAATCAGTTTATTTCGTGATTTATAAGTCTGTTGTAGCAGTCAGGGATTGTTTTTGTGGGTGGTTTTGTTGTTTTTGTTTGTTTGTTTTGTGTGTGTTTGTTTCCCTAACACAAACATTACAAAGCAGTTACCCAAACTGAGTTGTATTAAAGAAATACTGCCGTTGCCTATAGAAACCACGAGCAAATAGGTTGTGGCTTTGTCAAGAATGAAACAAAATGAAAAACAACAAAAACCACACAACAATGGAAAATAAATGAAAGCTAAGCAAAATAAATGCATCTACATCATGCCCTGAAGCCTATTCACGCTAGACTAAAGCACTGGCAGACTGCCAAGTGGAAGAAATTCCAGACTGAAAACCGTATTGCTAGGCTGTAAGAGTTCAAGTTCAAGAGCCACCAGCAAGAGCCTGAAAAGACAATCAGAGCAGGGTAATGAGTTGCGGGGGGTAGAGGAGGGGGGTGGACATCTCACATCTACCTGTCTTAGATCTTTGTTCCTTTCACTATAATTCTAAGTTCAGTGAGAAGCCTAGAGAAAACCTGGGCTTTTCGAAACCGCTCTACTAGCTACCACCGGCATGCTGTTCTTCAAGTGTCTCATACAGACGTCAGGTATGAATATAATATCTTCTCCAAGAAAATTACACATTTCTTTCTCTGTTTACTCCTGTATAGAGCAGAAGAAAAAGACTGATGGCTGTTTGGTTACACTGGATGAATGGTCATAAGGAACAACTGTTAAGCCACGGATTGTGCAGGCTACTCTCAACACTGAACTGACAGAAACAAGCAAAAGCATTTGCTTTAAAGCTTAATTACTGCTGATTTTCCCTCTTTCCCCAAATCATCACCCAAAGTGGAAGATGTTCTCTCACACATTCATAACATTTCAGGTTCTCTAGATGAAGACAATGCAGTACAAAAGTTAAGTTGCCTCAAACTCATTCTGACAGCTACTAATTTTTACAAAAAAAAATACACAAAACTGACTAGAGGAAAGTGGTTTTTAAACAAGAAGTATTTCCTCAGCATCAGCACTGAAATGCAGTAAAACAGGAGGGGAAAAGAAACACACATCAAATAAATCCAGGTAGCCTACATTGTATTACTTCAGAGTAAGATGAACCTTTCTCAGCTGTTATAAAAACAGGAATCATGTCTTACATGCCACTTTAGTACTTACGGGTAAAATGATTAGAAGCTGATGGGTGGACATTGCTTCCACTGTCAGCACTTTCACTGCTAGAAATGTCATCATCTGATTCCCACACGCAGGAACAAGGTGAGGAGCCATCAACTTCTTCAAACTTCCTCTTTAAAATTCCACTCATTGCTGCAATGCTGTCACATGCACCTGTAGCAGGAACAGAGGCAATGAAGCATTGAAACATCTGCCTGCTGTCCAAGTCTTCAAAATTCATTTATCATGGAGGAGTTTATATACATGTATAAATCTGATACTATCACCTTTAGTTAAATGGTTCTTTAACAAGAGTTTTTAAACAACTTTTGCAGGAAGAAGTCCAAAAGATATTCTGACTTTCTTACAGGCAGTTTTTTCTTCTTAAGACAGAAGGTAAATGCCACCTGTTTTCTACCAGCACATCCGAAGTATTATAACTAATCTCATGCATAAAATTAAATAATAAATATTTCAGTTTTGGAGCAAGCTTTAGCTAAGCATAAACTACACATAATCCAATATAGTTCAGTAGAAACATGCCTTCATGTAACATTTAAAAACTTAGCTGGCACCAAGAAACATTACATAGCAAAAATCAGTGTTCCCTACCAAATATAGTTCAGAAATAAATGCTCAGCACTATCAAATGCCCATATTTTCAATTAGATCTCAGAGCATGAGATGCTTAGCATCTTGACAGGCCAAGCCCTGCAGACACAGTTCTGGCTCATTTTGCAGTTTTAATTTATGCATAAGCTTGTTGCAGAGCATTTATGAAATTAAGATATGAGAAGTGGTATATACGTAGACTATTTCCAATCATATGAACAAACTATCAAAGGACTGAAATTATCTTCATGAGCTTTGCTTCCTAATAATACTGTCCAATATAGCCAGAGTCGGGTTGACAATTCCTCAATGTTTCTCCTTCATTTATAACAGCTGACCTTCTTATCTCCATTTATGGAATAACAAGTAAAAAAAAAAAAAAAAAGATCAAAATAATTTTAAAGCAATTCCTAGATCATGCTAATGCATCTGATAGGCTAAAACATTTTTTTCTATATCTTTAATTAAAAAAAAAAAATCTTAAATTTTCTGTCACTATCATTACTGATTACATCCTTGTGAAGATGGAAAATTAATTCCTAGATCTTAATTTAAAAGTTACAGATAACATCTACGCTCTGACTACTAATCAGTGGAAAGTTGCTCTAAATAGCTGTGGGGAAAAAAAAAAAAAGTTTGCTGCTTGATGCTTTCAAGCATACGGTAGCAAAAAAATCCCATTCCTCTGAATGCCACTCGTCTGCAAGCTGCCAGTATAATTTATTTCATAATGAAGTTGTTTTCCTCTGCTAAGTTTTGTTCTACATTTATGGATGTGTCTAATTGAGAGAAAAGATTTCAATATAGATGTGGAATGCTAAGATAATGCAACATAATGCTCAGAACAGATGCTGCATAACATGATCTCCACCACTGAACTTTTTGACTGCAGAGCACACGAAAAATTAAATAACGAATACATTAGGTTCTAATACTGTCAGTCACTCAGGCAGTTTTAAATGCATATGCTTGTCTAAATCTTCTCAGCTTGTTTTACTATTTATGAAAAACCTGTTTTCCTGAAAGGGATTTCTTCAGGCTAAATGCATGACAAACACTACAGGCTTAGATCTCAACCTTTGACCTTTTGTCCAAAAAGGAGTTATCACATACTACAAAGAAAGCATTTTAATTTTTCATGCTGAGGACAAGGAAAGGTGCATTCTGTATCATTTTGGAAAAAAAAAAAATCGTTAAGAATCACCCATTAATATAAAAAATACACTTTGAAAATAAAAAAAAGGAACAAAACCCAAACACACTGGAAACCTAGAAAAATGGAGAGAGGGCAGAAAACCCCAAAGGATAGGGTCAGAAACAACTCCTTCAAACTGCCCTCTGTGTCTTCACTGTATCTATTTGCCAACCACCTTTTCCACTGCCTCCTGCAGTGCTTACAGCACTGAATTTGTGAAATCACAATTATTTCCATGGCAACTGCCTGCAATATCAAAACCAAAGGATTACAGCTTGACTGCAGAATAGGGTAAAGAAGCAGCTGGAGTGTGAGAAAGAAAATGCTTACACTCAAACATCTCAGTGAAGAGACAGAAGAGTGAGAAAAGGGCTGACAGTTTACTGTGCAAGCAAAACCTAGGTCAAATCCACATCTAAGCACATTGAAATTGTGGCTACAGAGTCTTAAAGCCCAAAGAACCTCTGTCATTACTACACTATGAGGCAAACCTAATAGCTATAATCATCACTAGCGTGCAGACCATCAGAAAGAGCTAATTTTCATAGCCTGAGACAGTTACCAGACAAAAGCCCTTTTGCCAGACATTGTCTTCTGCAAGCATACCACACAGTGCCTAGATGACTAACATACATCTTGCCCCTCAGTAAAGCTGTCACAGATGGTGAGTGTCTCAGTCACCGTAACTGTTTACAGCTAGTAGCAGCAACAAATATTTTTCACACCAAAGGGTTTTACATTTCCTTGTGTTTAGCACAGCCTACATTTGCATCACGTGCCATGACCTGGCAGCAGTAAAGCCATTGTATTAATATTTCTGGAACAAACCATAAGAAATGATTCCCAGGATCCCTGAATGGATGGACAGAGTAGTTCTACAGCCAGCTAGCTGATACAGATAAGCCAGGAGGTATGGGAACACTGCAGAAGATGAGTATCACCACGACACTTAAAGAAGACATAACTATCCATTTAAAAATGTATGTACAGTTATCACTGCTGCCCAGTTTTGTTCTGAATCTCTCTTGCGGGAAGATTATCTTATCAAGAAGGTTGCTTGACAAAGCAGTCGCACTAAAATTTAGGTGTTGTCACTTGTCTAGGATCTGTTGATTCATGTCTCTCTGGTATCAAGTCTCTGCAGGAAAACGCTAGATGGGGAAAAGATATTTACACAACTCAAGAGCCTGGATATCACACAGATAGATTACAGGGCGTCTAAACCTGTTTGTACACACTACGTACCAGCAGGAGATCCCCTCAGAATCACATCTGTATAAACAGCTGCCATTCCAGAAGCAATATTCTTCAGAAAGAGGCACATCTGCGCAGGAGTGCAGCATGTTCGATTGGATACATTTAACCCATGCCTTGTTTACACAGACATCGTGCAGTACCTGTGTGACACATCCACACCTCCTGGATCAATAAGCCTGGCAACATACAACCCAGTACTGGTTATCCAAGCGTCACTTCGCACTGTTGATCACATGATACATCCCAGTGGAACATGGAGCCCTACTTCTGACAGCAATGAAGCCACAAAGTTTGTATTATCTATAAAGGTTCCCAAAGTCCAGAATCAGGGAACTAGGACAGGGAACTCTAAATTGTCAGTCTTTCTGCATCACAGCTACAACTGAATCAGTAGTTTCAAATTTTGGGGGAGTCAAACTGAAGCTACTGCAGTCACATGGCAAAAGCAAAATAAAGCAAAATATCCAAGACAGTCCATCACACGGAACAGGATTAATCTCTTACACACAGAAGTACTACAGCAGTATGTATATTCTGAAGAAAAATGAGCAAAGGTGTGCATTTCTGCATCAAATCCAGTACACAAATGTACATGACTCTACAGGAACCAACCTATGTCATGTGACTGAGAAAAACAGATGTCCAGAATAGAGTGAACATGGAAATTAAAAAATAAGTCACTATGCTCGAACTCACAGTAAGATACCAGTAAGTTTCAGCCTTCAGAGGCGAATGCTGAGACAAGAACCAGCTAGTCAGACAGCAAACTGACAGTTTAGGTGAAAAAGGAAAAAAGACGGCTTGCAGAGTTCAATTAAAAACAGACCTTTGTGGATGATCATTAAATAGCTGTCTAAAAACTCAGATGGACTTCGACCAGCACCCTGCTGTCTCACACAACCAAGTAAGATGCAGGCAGTGGAAGCTTCCCTGTGCGTTGATGTATGCTTCACAACACAAAGTGCTCACGCAGTGAAGTGCTGCATCATCCTCTGCCACGCTCCTCACCATGCTAATGGGGCACTAATCTACACCAAGGCGAAGCACAGCTCAAACTGCGGTAACAGTATATCCGAACAAGGAAAATCAGCCACATGTGCCTTGTCACGAGCTGCAGGTCAGGCATCAAATACCCAATGCAGACAAGGGTTATGAGAGAAAATGGCAACTTGCCTCAGCAGAAGCACAGGATGAGTGCCTGCTGGAAGGAGAATCCGTTTTCCTCAATCCCCCACATTCATCCTTTCTCCTTCTCCTCTCTGAAAAAGCTACAGGCACATAGGGACGGTTTGACCAGCTCCCGGCTGCAGGTAGCTGCCCGGCGAAGCGAGGCCTCAAGGCACCATGGCAACGGGCTCTGCCTTGCACCGTGCCAGACAACTGGCAGACACCCCACATCCGCAGGCTCAGAAGCAGCGAGCTATTACTGGAAGAGAAAAACCCCATGCGGGTGCAGGGGGCATTTAAAACAGTCACAATGCTACCCATAACCTACAGAGTGAAATAATGCAAAAGCTTGGCTAGATTGACTTCCTCTTGTGCCTGAAAAGGCTGGAAATTTTAGAAAACCATGGTAACAATCTCATTACAGCAGTCCTGCAGATAGCAGGAATCTCCAAACACCAGCGAAAAGCCCCAGAAGAGCTGGTAAAGAATTACTGGTGAGTGGAAGGGAGGGGTGACACTGCAGCATTATCCGTGGTACTAGGAGACATTTTTGCTGTGATGTTCCCCTGTAAGACATGCTGCCACCAGTCTTTCACTGCCACCCATCGACAGAAAAAAAAAAAAGTAAAACAAAAAACAATCCACAAAACAAAAAGCACTGGTACCTTGTGAGATAGGAGAAATGCTTTAAACTCTCCCTGTGCTGCCTAACTTGCACTTCTGCTATCTGTTTGAAATGTGCTAAAAGATGCTAAGAAAACACACAAAAAGCTGCAATATAGAAATAGGGAATTCACAAAATCCTCGGTTAATGACAACAAAACCAAGACATGCTCATCCTACTCATACTCTACAAATAAATGACTGTGTTGTAAAATTCAGCACTATATATATATATATATACAGCTCATATATCATCTTATGGGAAATAGAACAAGTACAA